TATACAGGGTGACTCAAAAAAATTAATGAATGCGTAAATTTATTTTATTGATTTAATCAGGAACTACAAAACCGAATGCTTTGAAATCTTGCAGATGTTTTAAGGTTATAAAGAGCATAATAAATTTTTAGTCAAAATATATTTGGTTATCTTCTACAAAAAATTGATGAGGTCAGCTCAAAAGTTTTCCGAATAAATCGTATCTACAATGTACAAAATATGATGAGTCTGTACTTGTGATTTATCATTCCATTCATATTTTTGGATTTGCATATGCAGGGTGACTCAAAAAAATTAATGAAGGCGTGAATATATTTTATCGATTTAATCAGGAATTACAAAACCGAATGCTTTGAAATCTTGGGAATATTTTAAAGTTATTATAAGCATGGTAAACTTTTGTTCAAAATGTATTTGTTCATCCCTCCTAAAAAAATTGATGACGTCACCCTTAAATTTTGCTGAATAAATCCTATCTAAAATGCAAAAAATATGATGAGTTTGTACTTGTGATTTATCATTCCATTCATATTTTTTAGATTTTCTTAAGAGGTGGTTCAAAAAAATTAATGAAGTCAATTTATTTTATTGATTAAATTAAAGGCAACACTTATTATTAGTATTACACCCCAACCAACCCAATTTGGTAGACACAAAATTTGTTAAAGGAAAAACTCGGTTGAAACATAAGGGTAGCACGCTTATTTATATCAACTTTAACATTACAGACCTGCATTTGTTTTATGCGTTCACTTGATTCCGCGAATGTGAAATAGACATGTTTATAATCAACCAATTGTGAATTTCACCGTCAAGAATTAAAATAAAACCCAATGTTTTATATAATAAGCGGAAGTCGAAGCAATAAAACCGACGGTCGTTTTGTTTACAGTTTCTCTGTTTGGCTCTCGCGTATGCTGTTACGCCTGTCATCTTAAATTAAGAATGTTTATACATACACGATTTTCAGTTGCCTCTGATACGTAGGTATACGTGAGTAAATTGTTTCGTTATTTTATTGATTATTACAAATCAATATTCAAACGACCCAATTCATTTTCCCGAAAATTTGAGAATATAATAATTTTATTCTTAGTATTACACTACATCTATCCCAACTGATATACGTGTCCTTGCAAAAATGTTGATGACGTCATCGCAATTTTTTTTTAAATTCCCACTACAAAAATGTAATGAGAAAAAAAACACAATAGGCATGCAGTCGTCAAGTTTCCGACAGCGAGGGAAGTACTGTCTAAACTCTTTAGACCAATTTTTTGATTTTCCCATTTATCGATTTCTCGTTTTCCTATCTCACGACTTTTCGATTTTTTGATTTTCTTATTTATAGATTTTTCGGTTTTTCAGTGCTCGAGAAATTGAAACATCAAAAAACCGATTAAATCTGAAATTTAAAAATTCGAAAATTAAATAGAAATGTCGAAAAACTGAAAAATCGAAGTTTCGATTTTTGGACTCTCGGCTTTTCGATTTTCCAATTTTCCGAAATTTCAATTTTTCGCCACATCAATTTCGGAATTTTAATTTTTCGATTTTTTTAACTTTGGAATTTAAGATTTCTCAGTTTTTTCAATTTCTCGGTTGTTCAGTTTTTCGACTTTCAATTACTCGATTATGAAATTTTCGACTTTTGGATTTCTCGATTTTTCTATTTTTGTGTTTCAGTTTTGGGATTTTTCATTTTATGGATTCTTCAATTGAAAAACTGAAACATCGAGAAATCCAATAGTCGAAAAATCGAAAAACTTGGACGTCCAAAAATTTAAAATTGAAAAATTTGTAATTAAAAAAAATCAAGAAATTCAACAATCGGAAGATCGAAACAACGAAATCTCAAAACCCGAAAAATTGAAAAACCGAAAAATTTTAAAAACGAAAAATTTAAAAATTAGAAAGTCAAATAGAAATATCCAAGAACTGAAAAACTGAAGAACCGAGAAATTGAAAAATGACCATTTCGATTTTATTTTTCCGAATTTTCTGTTTTTGGAATTTTTCTATTTGATTTTGCAATTTTTCGATTCCTCAGTTTTTCAACTATGTACTTAAATTTTGGATTTTTCGATTTTTCAATTTTTTTAGGCTTTTACTTTTCTCGATTTTCCGACGTTTAGTTTTCTAGACTTTTCGATTCCTCGATTTTCTAATTTTTCCATATTTCAGTTTTGGGATTTTTCCATTTATGGATTCTTCAATTGAAAAACTGGAACATCGAGAAATCAAAACATCGAAAAATCGAAAAGTTGAAAAAGTGATTGAAAAGTTTAAAATTGAAAAATTAAAAAATTTAGAATTAAAAAAATCGAAAAATTGAAAAACCGAAAGATCGAGAAATCGAAACATCAAAAAACCGATTAAATCTAAAATTTAACAATTCAAAAATCAAATATATAGAAATATCGAAAAACTGAAAAATCGATATTTCGATTTTTGAACTCTCGGCTTTTCGATTTTCCAATTTCTCGAAGATTCGATTTTTCAATTTTTCGTCATTTCTTTCGTAATTTTCCAGTTTCTTGATTTTTCAGTTTTTCGATTCTTCAATTATTCGATTTTTAAAGTTCGGAATTTATAGATTTTTCAGTTTCTCGGTTTTTCAGATTTTCGACTTTCAATTATTACTCGTTTCTTAAATTTTCGATTTTTCGGCTTTTGGATTTCTCAACTCTTCTATGTTTCAAGTTTTGGGATTTTTCAATTTATGAATTTTTCAGTTGAAAAACTGAAACATCGAGAAATCGAAAAATTAAAACATCGAAATAGTCCAAAATCGAAAAGTTTAAAATTGGAAAATTGAAAAATTTTAAATAAAAAAAAACGAGAACTTCAACAATCGGAAGATCGAAAATTTGAAAAATTGAAAAATTAAAAAAACGAAAAATCTAAAACCGAGAAATCGAAAGATCGAGAAATCGAAACATTAAAAAACTGAAAAATTTAAAAATTAGAAAGTCGAATAGAAATATTCAAGAACTGAAAAACTGAAGAACCGAGAAATTGAAAAATGGCCATTTGGATATCTTATTTTTCCGACTTTTCTGCTTTGGAATGTTTCTATTTCATTTTTCCATTTTTCGATTTCTCAGTTTTTTTAAAGCTTTTTTTTTTACTTCGATTTTCCGACATTTGGACTTTTCAAAGTTTCGTTTTGTGGACTTTTCGATTCCTCGTTTTTCCAATTTTTCTATGTTTCAGTTTTGGGATTTTTCCATTTATGAATTCTTCAATTGAAAAACTGGAACATCGAGGCATCAAAACATTAAAAAATCGAGAAATTGAGAAGTCGATAAGTCGTAAAATTGGGAAGTCGAGATTGTCCAAAAATTGAAAAGTTTAAAATTGAAAAATTAAAAAATTTAGAATTAAAAAAATCGAAAGATCGACACACCGAAACCTCGAGAAATCGAAACATCAAAAAACAGATTACATCTAAAATTAAAAGATTCCAAAATCAAATGGAAACATCAAAAAACTGAAAAATCGATACATATTTCGATTGTAGAATTTTTCGTAGTTTCGATTTTTCAATTTTTCGTCATTTCTGTTTTGGAATTTTTCAATTTCTTGATTTTTCAGTTTTTCGATTCTTCAATCTTTCGATTTTTTAAGTCGGAATTTTTAAATTTCTCAGTTTTTCAATTTTTCAATTTTTCGATTTTCATTTCGATGTTTCAGTTTTGGGATTTTTCATTTTGTGGATTCTTCAGTTGAAAAACTAAAACATCAAGAAATCGAAAATTCAAAAGTTCAAGAAATCGAAAAGTCGAAAAATTGAGACATCGAAAAGTTTAAAATTGAAAAACTTGAAATAAAACAAAATGAAACATTTTATTTAAAAAAAAATCAAGAACTTCAACAATCGGAAGATCGAAACAACGAAATCTCGTTAAACTCGAGAAACCGAAAAATTGAAAAATCAAAAAACTGAAAAATCGAAAATTTAAACATTAGAAACTCAAATAGAAGTATCCAAGAATCAAAAAATAGAAAAACTGAAGAACCGAGAAATTGAAAAATAGCCATTTCGATTTCTCATTTGTCCGACTTTTTTGTTTTGGAATTTTTTTATTTGATTTTGCAGTTCTTCGACTTTTAAATTTTGGATGTTTCCATTCTTCGATTTTTCATTTTTTTTAGGCTTTTCCTTTTCCCGATTTTCTGAAGTTAGGAGTTTTTCGATTTTTTTCATTTTCCCATTTCTCGATTTTCCAATTTTTCGATGTTTCAGTTTAGGAATTTTTCTATTTATGGATTTTTCAATCGAAAAACTGAAACATTGAGATATCAAAACATCAAAAAATCGAGAAATCGAGAAGTTGAAAAATCTAAAATTTGAGAAATCGAAAGATGAGAAATCGAAACATCAAAAACCGATTAAATCTTAAATTTAAAAATTCGAAAATCAAATAGAAATATCGAAAAACTGAAAAATCGATGTTTCTAGACTTTTCTCGATTTTTTAAGTTCGGAATTTTTAGATTTCTCAGTTTTTCAATTTCTCAATTTTTAAATATATATTCGATTTCTGGATTTTTTGATTTTTCAATGATTCAGGTTTGGGATTTTTCAGTTTATGGATTTTTCAGTTGAAAAACTGAAACATCGTGAAATCAAAAGTTGAAAAGGTCGTTAAATCGAAAAGTCGAAAAATGGAAAAATTGAGACATCAAAATAAACCAAAATCGAAAAATTTTAAATAAAAAAAATCATGAAATTCAATAGTCGATCGAAACAACGAAATCTCGCTAAATCGAGAAACCGAAAAATTGAAAAATCTAAAACCCAGAAATCGAGAAATCGAACCATGAAAAAACTGAAAAATCTAAAATTTAAAAATTAGAAAGTCAGATAGAAATATATCCAAGAAACTGAATAAAATAACAATCACGAAGTTATTTTCGGCTATCTGCTAGTTTCAATACCAGGAGTAAATTAAGTACTTTCGGACCACCCCATTTTAAAAAAACATTTTTTTGCAGAATACCACGCAGAGGCCGCCGCCGACCACCTCCATCCCCACGGACCTCCGCGTCAACACCACGGCTCTGAACGCCGTGGCGCTGAGCAGCGTCGCCAAGTACTGGGTCTTGACGAACCTGCTGCCCGGCCCCATCCCCCAGGTGTCCGTCTATGGCTTGCCGGGGTCCGGCCGCACCGACAACCAAAGCAAAATGTCGCAGGTCTGTGGTCGATACATTTCGGCACCTCCGTCTTAAGTTTCTTTGTTGATGTGTAGCAATTTGTTATGTTGGGTAACAGGAGGCCATGCTGGGTCAGCACGCGGCGGCGGGGCTGCTGCCGGCCGATCCGCTCCTTCTCCAACAGCATTCCCAGATCCCGGTCAGCATATCGACGTCGCAGGGAGTCACCAACCTCTCGATCCCGACCGGGAACATGCACCTGGAGAACAGCCACCAGAACCACGGCTCGCTGGCGAACCACCAGCAGAACGACCCGCTGAGCCAGAGCCAGATGAGCAGGGAGGTGAGGCTGGGAGGGGGAGGGGGCAGCCGTTTTTGTTTTGTGCTGCGGTTACCGAACAGATGGAGTTGTAGCTTAATTTTACTTTTTTCTATTACGATTAGTTGCAATAAAAAATAAGCTAAAAATAGTGATTGTACGCCAGATTTGCGGTACCATATGTAGCGCATTAATTCCCCATTTCCTCGTTTTTATCGTACAAAATTAAATTTTAATCATTTGGAGTGTGTTAAAATAATTGCGCTAATTACGTTTTAAAAGGCAACAACTTTACCGACAACAATTATTTAAATTAAATTCACTACTAACTATAGGAGAATATTGTTGTGAAGATGTTACGTAAAAGTTGTTTCTCTAACTTTTCATCAAAGTGTTTAATCTAAATAATTGCTTAAAACGTTTATTAGTTTGTCAAGTAATGCCTGGTTATTCCCAAGGTCTATGGCGACAACGTATTAACTTCAATATGATCATCACTATTGCTGCACAAATATAATTTTAAATAAGTGAAAAATGACACTCTTAATTATGAGCTTTTACAAGTTTATTCTTACATTGTACGATAACAATTTTTTTTTTTTGTAATAAAATGAGTAAGTTGAGAGCAAAAGCCGAGCTTTTATAGCTTTGATATTCACCAGTTCTAATTAAATGTTATTATTGTCGTCCCTGCTGGTTATTTACTCGAGTTAAAGACACTATAACCACAGGATTTGATGACTGAATACATTTAAATCGAGCCATAAATAGACATGAGCAAAATCTTAGACATGAGTCCTGTGCTATTTTCGATTGATGGAGAATGAATGAAATAAGTGATCATGAACTTGGGGCTTCTTAACAGACAAGAAATATTGTTCCGGTAGAGTATATTGAGTTAGTTGCAGCTCTGGAAAATGTTGTATTATGTCTGGTCACGGATTAAGATGAATTGCGGCTCTCCGCGGAAGGAATTGTGTCGCTCGACGCGGCAACGATTACCTTGTCAGTTCGATCGTCACGGGTAGTGCGGAAATGCGGCTCTCCGCGCAATTTAATAATAAACTTGATATACATGAAGCCGAATCTTTAAAAAATCAGGTGGAAAAGTTGGAACTAAAATTTTAAAGAATATTGATAATTGGAGAAAAACACAGCAAAGTGTTGAACAGGCGCCAGAAATATTTAGCAGTTCCGTTGGTTTTTATTGTAGCACAGTTAAAAGACCAAAGTTCTGGACTTGATGAAATCTACCAGACTTTTCACATTTTGTCTCGAGATTTTGAAATAATGCTTCTTAAAATATAAAAATTAACTAATTTTAACTTAGTATTTCTCAAATTTTCGATATTTCACTTTTGGTATTTTTGAGCTTTTTTTCCGAAATTTTGGTGTTGGGGTTTTGCAATTTTTCGATTCTTTAATGTTTCGATTCTTCAAATTTTCGATTTCCCGATTTTTTCATTTTTCAATTTTTTTTCTCGATTTTTCGACATTTCTCGACTTCTCGATGTTTCAGTTTTTGGATTTTTCAATTTATGGATTCGTCAATTGAAAAACTGGAACATCGAGAAATCAAAACATCAAAAGATTGAGAAAGCGAAAGGTGGAGAAGTTGAAAAATTGAGAAATTCAGATGGTCAAAAGATCGAAAAGTTTAAAATTGAAAAATTAAAAAATTTAGAAAAAATAAATTGAGAATATATTGGGAATATTCTTGATTTCTCAATTTTTCAATTATTCAACTTTCATTTCTGTATTTGTACATTTTCGATTTTCCGACTTCTCGATTTTTAAATTTCTCGATGTTTCAGTTTTGGGATTTTTCAGTTTATAAATTCTTCCGTTAAAAAACTAAACATCGAGAAATCGAAAGGTGGAGAAGTCGAAAAATCGAAAAATTGAGAAATCAAACATTAAAAAACTGATCAAACATAAAATTTAAAAATTCGAAAATCAAATAAAAATATCGAGAAATCGACTTGTCGGCTTTTTGATTTTCTAATTTTTCGATTTTTTAAGTTGGGGATTTTTTAGATTTTGCAAAAATTCTGGGTTTTTCAATTATTCGACTTTCAATTTTTTGATTTTTAAATTTTTGGTTTTTCGACTTGTTGATTTGTCGATTTTTCAATATGTCCTTGTTTCAGTTTTTGGGATTTTGCAGTCTATAGATTCCTCAGTTAAAAACTGAAACATGAGAAATCGAAAAATTGGGACATCGAAATAGCTCAAAATCGAAAAGTTTACAATTGAAAAATTGAACAATCAGAAGATCGAAACAACGAAATCTCGATAAATCGAGAAACCGAAAAATTAAGAAAAAAAAACGAAAAATGTAAAACCGAGAAAGATCGAGAAATCAAAATTTCAAAAACTGAAAAATCTAAAATTACAAAGTTGACAGTCAAACAGAAATTTCGAAGAACTGGGAAATCGAAAAACTAAAGAACCGAGAATTTGAAAAATGGCCATTTCGATTTCTCATTTTTTCGACTTTTCTGTTCTGGAATTTTTCAATTTGATTTTTTACTTTTTCATGCTTCAATTTCGATTTCTCGATTTTTTTGTTTTTCGATCTCTCAGTTTTCGACTTTTTGGGCTTTTCGATTTGTTGACTTTTCAATGCTCCAATTTTTCGAATTTTCAGGTTTTTGATTTTCCAATTTTTTTACTTTTCGATTTTTCGGTTTTTCGATGTTTCAGTTTTAGAATTTTTCAATTGAAAACCGAAATATGGACAAATCGAAAACTCAAAAAAATTGAGAAATCGAGATCGTCCAAAAATCGAAAAGTTTAAAATTGAAAAATTAAAAAAAATAGACATTAAAAAAACGAGAATTTGAATAATCGAAAGGTTGAAACATCAAAAAACTGGTCAAATTTAAAATTTAAAAATTCGAAAATCAAATAAATATCGAAAAATCGCTATTTTTCGATGTTTCGATTTTTGAATTGTTTGTCATTTCTGTTTCGGAATTCTTCAATTTCTTGATTTTTAAATTTTTTGATTTTATAAGTTCGGGATTTTTGATTTCTCAGGTTTTCAATTTCGCGATTTTACATTTGAAAAATTGAAAATTTTGAAATAAAAAAATATATCAAAAATTGAAAAATTAAAAAAAAAACGAAAAATCTGAAACCGAGCAAGATCGAGAAATCAAAACATCAAAAACTGAAAAATCTAAAATTACAAAGTTGACAGTGAAATAGAAATTTCGAAGAACTGAAGAATCGAAAAACTAAAGAACCGAGGAATTAAAAAACGGCCATTTCGATTTCTCATTTTTTCAAGTTTTCTGTCCTCGAATTTTTCAATTTGACTTTTTCGTTTTTCGATTTCTCAATTTTCGAATTTTCAGGTTTTTGATTTTGCTTTTTTTTTGACTTTTCGATTTTTCGGTTTTTCAGTGTCTCAGTTTTAGAATTCTTCAATTGAAAAACTGAAATATGGACAAATCGAAAAGTCGATAAGTAGAAAAAATGAGAAATGGAGATAGTCCAACTTTCGAAAAGTTTAAAATTGAAAAATTAAAAAAAATAGAATTTAAAAAAACGAGAATTTGAACAATCGAAAAGTCGAAACATCAAAAAACTGGTCAGATTTAAAATTTAAAAATTCCAAAATCAAATATAAATATCGAAAAATTGAAAAATCGAAAAATCGCTATTTCGATTTTCCGATTTTTCGATTTTTGAATTGTTTGTCATTTCTTTTTCGGAATTCTTCAATTTCTTGATTTTTCAATTTTTTGATTCTTCAATTTTTGGATTTTTTAAGCTCGAGATTTTTGACTTCTCAGGTTTGCAATTTCGCGATATTTTAATTTTTCGACTTTCAATTCCTGGTTCTTTAAATTTTCGATTTTTTAACTTTCCGGTTTCTGGATTTTTCACTTTTTCGTTGTTTCAGTTTTGAGATTTATCAGTTTATGGATTCTTCAGTTGAAAAACTCAAACATCAAAAGGTCGAGAAATCGAAAAATTAAGACATCGAAATAGTCCAAAATCGAAAAGTTTAAAATTGAAAAATCGAAACATTTGAAACAAAAAGAATAATTTAATATCAAAAAAGATCGAGTAACCGAAAATTGAAAAAAAAAAAAAAGAAAAATCTAAAACCGAGAAATCGAAACATCAAAAAACTGAAAAATCTAAAATTGCAAAATTCAGAAGCCAAATGGAAAGATCGAAGAACTGGAAAATCGAAAAACTGGAGAACCGAGAATTGAAAAATGACCATTTCGATTTCTCATTTTTGGACTTTTCTGTTTTGGAATTTGTCGATTTGATTTTTCAGTTTTTCAATTCTTGAAATTTTCGATTTCTGGATTTTTTCATTTTACGATTTCTGGATTTTCTGATCTGGCAGTTTTATAATTTTTCTCCATTTTACGTTTTAGATATTTTGGTTTTTCAACGTTTCAATTTTTCGAATTTTCAGGTTTTTGATTTTCCAATTTTTTTCAGTTTCTTGATTTTTCAGTTTTTCGATTCTTCAATTTTTTGATTTTTTACTTCGTAATTTTTAGATTTTCAATTTCTCGGTTTTCAGTTATTTGATTTTCAATTTTTCGTTGTTTCAGTTTTGGAATTTTTCAGTTTATGGATTCTTCAGTTGAAAAACTGAAACATTGAGAAATCAAAACATCAAAAGATCGAAAAATTGAAAAGTCAAAAAATGGAAAAATTGGGACATCGAAAAAACCCAAAAGCGAAAAATAAAATTGAAAAATTTGAAATAAAAAAATCTAGAAACTGAAAAATTGGACAATTAAAAAAAAACAAAAATCTAAAACCGAGAATCGAAAGATCCAGAAATCGAAACATCAAAAAACTGAAAAATCGAAAAACTGAAGAACCGAATAATTGAAAAATGGCATTTCGATTTCTCGATTTTTTCAGTTTTCGATTTCTCAGTTTTCTGATGTTTCAGTTTTCGCCGTTTTTTTAAACGTTTCTAAATTTTGAATTTTTTCATTTTTGGACTTTTCAATGTTTCGATTTGTGGACTTTCCGATTTCTCGCTTTTTTTTGATTTATTGGTTTTTCAGTGTTTCAATTTTTCGAATTTTCAGGTTTTTGATTTTTCGACTTTTCGATTTCTCAATTTCCGATTTTTCCATTTTTGGACTCTACGATTTCTTGACTTTTCAATGATTCAATTTTTCGAATTTTCAGGTTTTTGATTTTGCTTTTTTTTTTGACTTTTCGATTTTTCGGTTTTTCAGCGTCTCAGTTTTAGAATTCTTCAATTGAAAAACTGAAATATGGACAAATCGAAAAGTCGATAAGTCGAAAAAATGAGAAATGGAGATAGTCCAAAATTCGAGAAATCGAAACATTAAAAAATTGAGAAATCGAAAAATCGAGAAATGGAAACTTAAAAGTTCGAAAATCAAATAGAAATTTCGAAGAACCGAAAAATCGAGAATTCGAAAATCTAAAATTTCAAAATTGAAAAATCCAAGTATTGAAAAATTAAAGAACTGAGAAATTGAAAAGTTTTCCAATTTTTCAATTTTTTGTAATTCTGTTTTGGAATTTATCTGTTTTTCTTTGTTTTAGGTTTTGCATTTTTTGATTTCTCGGTTTTTCGACTGTTCGATTTTTCAGTTTTTTCAATAATTTAATTTTCAATTTTTTTAAAGATTTTTCCGTTTTTCTATTTTACGATTTGTTGATGTTTAGATTTATGGACGTTCCGGTTTTTCGATTTTTAAAAATTTTTTGATTTCTTGTTTTAAATTGTTCGATTTTTCTAGTTTTCGATTTCCCATTGTTAATCATTTCAATTTTGCAGTTTTTTCAATTTCTCTATACATATTTGACTTTTCCGATTCTTCAATTTTAGATTTTTCAGTTATTTGATTTTTTGGTTTTCCCATTTATTATCGATTTTTCTGTTTTTCAATGCTTTAATTTTTTAGGTAGTCGATTTTTCAGTTTTTCGATGTTTTGGGATTTTTCAGTTTATGTGTGTATACGTAATTGAAAAATTGAAACACCAAAAGATCGAAAAGTCGAGAAGTCAAAAAATCGAAATAGCCCAAAATCGAAAAGATTATTAAAATTGAAAAATTTAAAATCCATAAATCGAAAAATTGAAAAATCGAAGAATTTGAATTTTGATGTTTCGATTTCTTGACATTTCGGTTTTTCGATTTTTAAAATTTATAGTTAAAAAATTACTGAATGATAAAAATTATCACCAAAGCATAACAAGCATCAGGCTACCGCTTTGAGTGTGAGGGAAGTACTGCATAAATTCTTTAGATCAGTTTTTGAGTTCACTTGTCTTCTTGGGAATGTAATTATTCATTCACGCGAAACTTCTTGGCAAAGTTTCAAATGCAACGTTCAGTCAGACGCATTTCTTTTCGTTGCAATATTATCATATAATTAACTTCATTTTAAAGCGAAAACAAAAATGGCTGACAAATATCACGTAAATATTGCGTATTGTCAGAAAACTAATACAAACACGTTACAGATGGCCCACCAGCAACAGAACCACAGCACCCAACAAAACATGGTTCAGGTCCAAGTCCAAGACAACTTGGTCTCCGTCATCGAAGATAGCAAAGAGCAAAAAGAAATCATCGCTGCGCAGCTAGCCCACGCGCAGATCCAGCTCAACGATAATCAACACCTCAACCAACAAGCTCTAACCGTTCAACAACTGCAACACCTCCAAGTGCAGCAGGTCCTCGACAACGTCGTCCGCATGGAAAACTCGGTCGAAAATACTCAAAACCAATCAAACAATGATCAAAACCAGCTCTCCGACAACATCCAGATCGTGAAAGACGAGAAAAATTTACAAAACTGTAAGTTACTGACCGGTGCGCAGTTCGGTTTGCAAGACCACAAGGGTAACTTGATGGACGTGCGGACTGCTGACGGTAGCATAGTGAAAATTTCAACCAACCTCCAAGAGCAAGACTTGGCGAAGACCTTGGGGGTCGAGATGGTCCAGAACATGTACAAAGTGAACGTCGACGACCTGAACCAGCTCCTGGCATATCACGAAGTCTTCGGCAAGCTCCAAGGCGAGATCGCGACGACGGGCCAGAACATCGTCCAGAACACCAACCCCAACGTGAACCTGCAGCAGAACGCGAACAACATCGCCATAGTCACGAAGGACGAGCAGGAGCCGTCGACGAGCTCCTTGCCCAACGACAACACGGCGACGGTCATCACCGGGAACCATGTCTGTGATCTCTGCGGGAAAATGTTCCAGTTTCGTTACCAGTTGATCGTCCACAGACGTTACCACAACGAGCGGAAGCCGTTCACTTGCCAGGTCTGCGGCAAGGCGTTCTCCAACTCGCAGGAGCTGACGCGCCACGGAAAGTGCCATCTCGGCGGGAGCATGTTCACGTGCGCGGTGTGTTTCCACGTGTTCGCGAACGCGGCGTCGCTAGAGAGACACATGAAGCGGCACTCGACGGACAAGCCGTACAACTGCACGATCTGCGGGAAGTCGTTCGCGAGGAAGGAGCACCTGGACAACCACACGAGGTGTCACACGGGGGAGACGCCGTACAGGTGCCAGTATTGTGCCAAAACGTTCACCAGGAAGGAGCACATGGTGAACCACGTGCGGAAGCACACGGGGGAGACGCCGCATCGGTGCGAGATCTGCAAGAAGTCGTTCACGAGGAAGGAGCACTTCATGAATCACGTGATGTGGCACACGGGGGAGACGCCGCATCACTGTACGATCTGCGGGAAGAAGTACACGAGGAAGGAGCATCTGGCGAATCACATGAGGTCGCACACGAACGACACGCCCTTCCGGTGCGAGATCTGCGGGAAGTCCTTCACGAGGAAGGAGCACTTCACGAACCATATCATGTGGCACACGGGGGAGACGCCTCATCGGTGTGTAGTATTGCGTTGTCGTGTTCTACGTATTTTCGGGGTGCATGGTGGGGGTCCATAAGATCAAATGATCAAAGTTTTTGTTCCATACTATGCAACCAGTATTACTATAACGTTTTGTTGCTTTCAGTATTTATGAATAGCACAAATTTTAGATGTAAGCAACCAACATTTCTATCTACGGGTAAGTATCGAGAGAAATCGGTAAATTAGGTGGCCGGTGTTATCGGCATAAAGTGTTTACTTGATCGTATAAGAATTGAAATATCATTGTTGTAGTGACAGAAAAGTCACTACATATCTCTATTATATTCTCCTAAAAATTATTTGAAATATCTCGTAGAAGCGTTGCCAAGTCGCCCTTGATAGTAATTTTGATGTTCAACTTTTGCCGTATTTCAAGGGGTTGGAGAAGAGAAGTGGAGGATTTAAGTTGATTACTACAAAAATCTACCATTTTAGACATGTTTTAAGTTTCTTGTTATCGAAATAAGTCTACATATATTAAGAAAAAAAGGCAAAATGTAGCCCCGCCCACCCACCCGGTCTCAATTGTGGTGATTTACTTTATTCGTCGTGAGCTAAGAAGACGGACTTGAACTGCAAAATCCTTATTTCTCTATGAAAAATTAAAAGCATGTTTTTTAGTATCGCGTTGTTCAAAGAAGACTATGTATATTAAGAAAAAATAAAGTAAAAGATTAAGCCACACCCATACCCGCCCCAATCTCAATTCTCAATTGTAATGAATTTTTCATTCGTTGCCAGATCAAGAGGTGGGGCTTATTTGCAAGATCCATATTTGTCTAGAAGAGTTTATCATTGTAAACATGTTTTAGGTTTCTTGTTCTGAAAAGACGACTACCTAAGTATAGTAAGAAAAAAGACAAAATATAAGCCCCGCCCACCCGCCCTATTTCAATTGTGACGATTTTTTTTTAATCGTCGAGAGTCGAAGGAGCGGAATTTAATTGCAAAATTCTTATTATTTCTCTACAAGAAATTACCATGTCAGACTTGCCTAATCTAAATAGTAATGAAGTTTTCATTCGTTGGCAGACCTAAGGGCGGCGGAACTTAATTGCAAAATCCATATATTCTTACAAAAATTACCATTTTAAACGAGTTTCAAATTACTAAAAATAAAAAAAATCATCACAATTGGGATGGGGTGGGCGGGCGGGGTTTTATATTTTGCCTTTTTTCTTAATTTACATAGTATTCTTTGAATAGCACACTCAAAAACAATTTTTAATGTCTTGTAAAGAAGTAAGCATTTTACAGTTAAGCTCTGCCCCCTTGGTTCACGACGAATAAAAAAAAATCATCACAATTGAGATAGGGCGGGTGGGCGGGGTTCCATTTTCTTTTTTGTTTTAAAATATGTAGACTTCTTTTCACAGCATTAAACTTAAAACATGTTTAAAACGGAAACTACATGGGGAAATTTCGATTTTGCAATTAGGTTCCGCGTCAAAATTGCAAAATCCATATTTCCTTGCAAAAATGTACCATTTTAACCATGTTCTACGTTTCTTGTTGTGAAAAGATGGCTGTGTATATTAAGAAAACAAGGCAAAATATAAGCCCCGCCCACCCACCCTGTCGCAATTCTGATGATTTTTTTTTATTCGTCATGAGCCAAGAAGGCGGAGCTTAACCGCAAAATCATTATGTATTTACGAGAAATTAAAAAACATGTTTTTGAGTATCGTGTTGTTCAAAGAATACCATATATATAAAGAAAAAAATGAAGCTAACGATTAGGCCTTGCCCATACCCGCCCCGATCTCAATTCTCAATTGCGATAGATTTTTCATTCGTTGTCATATCGAGGGGCGGGTCTTAATTGCAAGATCCATATTTGTCTACGGGAATTTACCATTTTAAACATGTTTTAGGTTTCTTGTTCTGGAAAGACGAATACGTGTATTAAGATCAAAGGAAAATATAAATCCCACCCACCCGCCCTATCTCAATTGTGACGATTTTTTTTTAATCGTCGAGAGCCAAAGGAGCGGAATTTAATTGCAAAATCCTTATTATTTCTTTAGAAGAAATTATCATGTCTTACTTGTTTTTGAGTATAATATTATTCAAAGAATACTACATATGTATGCTAAGAAAAAAATTAAGCCAAAGATTAAGCCCCACCCATTCCTGCTCTGGTCTAAATAGTAATGAAGTTTTCATACGTTGGCAGACCTAGGGACGGCGGAACCTAATTGCAAAATTCATATTTTCTTACAAAATTTACCATTTTAAACGAGTTTCAAATTACTAAGAATAAAAAAAAATCATCACATTTGGGATGGGGTGGGTGGGTGGGGATTATATTTTGCCTGTTTTCTTAACTTACCTAGTATTCTTTGAATACCACACTCAAAAACAATTTTTAATGTCTTGTAAAGAAGTAAGTATTTTACAGTTAAGCCCTGCCGCCTTGGTTCACGATGAATAAAAAAAATCATCACAATTGGGCGGGTGGGCGGGCTTCCATTTTGCTTTTTTGTTTTAAAATATGTAGACTTCATTTCACAACGTGAAACTTAAAACATGTTTAAAATGGAAACTACATGGGGAAATTTCGATGTTGCAATTAGGTTCCGCGTCAAAATTGCAAAATCCATATTTCCTTACAAAAATGTACCATTTTAACCATGTTCTACGTTTCTTGTTGTGAAAAGATGGCTGTGTATATTAAGAAAACAATGCAAAATATAAACCCCGCCCACCCACCCTGTCGCAATTCTGATATTTTTTTTTTATTCGTCATGAGCCAAAAAGGCGGAGCTTAACTGCAAAATCATTATGTATTTACGAGAAATTAAAAAACATGTTTTTGAGTATCATCGTGTTGTTTAAAGAATACCATATATATAAAAAAAATGAAGCCAAAATTGAAAAATTTATGTTGTACTACGTATGCTGAGAGATTGAGTGACAGAAAAGTCACTAAATTTACGCGAAAAAAAGTTTCTCCTGAAAATTATTTGAAATATCTCCTAGAAGCGTTGCCAAGTTGATTGTAACTTTGATCTTCAACTTTTGCCGTATTTAAAGTTGTTGTAGAAGAAAAGTAGGGGATTTCAGTTGATTACTACAAAAATTTACCGTTTTAGACATGTTTTAAGTTTCTTGTTATCGAAATAAGTCTACACATATTAAGAAAAAAAAAAAAAGGAAAAATGTGCCCCGCCCACCCACCCTGTCGCAATTCTGATTATTTTTTTTTTATTCGTGATGAGCCAAGAAGGCGGAGCTTAACTGCAAAATCATTATGCATTTAGGAGAAATTAAAAAACATGTTTTTGAGTATCGTGTTGTTCAAAGAATACCATATACAGGGTGTCTCAGAAATAAGTACATTAATTTTAATCAGTTATAGAGCTCATTGAACTCAACAACTTTTCTTAGTAGAGTTTTGTCAAGAAGTTTTTAATTATCAAGTTAAAAATTGTTAAAGTTATACCCCAATTAAGGTTACCCGCCCATGGATCCTCAGTCACCCATGGACACTAATAATTATTATAATTAATAATTTACGGTCAAAAACAGTTACTAGGATACGTATTTTCCCAATCTTGTCAATGTGACAAACATTTAGAGAGAAATTGAAAATTCTGCTCCCTAATGGCGTACGAAATTTCAACGGCCCAAATGTGAGTGTTGAACACCTTCCCTCGTGTAATCGACCTCATCAGTTGATGGTATAAGAGATACAAAATTTGCTTGTTCGTTTATTTTTCTATTAAACCACTCACAAAAGTTTTGCCTACGTGGTAAGTCTGTTAGTTTCAATAACTGAACTTTCTGGTCATAAAAGGGGTACATTTGTTCTCTGAGTATCCTCCAAATACTACTCTCCGATACATCACACTGGACAGTGATACGTGCTAGTGCCCGGTCGAGCTTCGACACTCTTCAAAACAGCCTCTTCAATATTAGCAATTCTATTACTACGTAACTTACCCCGATCCTGAGGTGCAGGTTTAAAAGATCCGTACTCTCGAAAATGCTACAACGTTCTTAAAACTGCGCACATTTGGCAGACGATTTGGGAGGTTTTCTGAAAAAATTCCTTGGGCGCGAGTGCCGTTTCCCCGAGCTTCACCGTACGTTAAAACCATATCGGTGCATTCCAGATTTGAAAACAAAGCCATTTCAACACATTTCGTCTATAAATTAGAAATCTGTGCCAAACAAACTTTAAAGAGACAACGTTTAATAAAAACATTGACATAAAAATGATTGTCAGTGTCAAAACGGTTGCTACGGTACCTTCTTCATTGTTGTAGTGTTGCTATTATTTAAGTTATTATTTAAGGTGAACATAGACGGCTCGTGAATATATGGGTGGGAAAATTCGAAATTCGACTTGAGTTTTCGAAAAAATGCTAGATAAAAAAGTTGTTCCGTTTCACGGGTTCTGCTACTGGTTAAAATTAATGTACTTATTTCTGAGACACCCTGTATATAAAAAAAAAAAATGAAGCCAAAATTAAAAAATTTATGTTGTACTGCGTATGGTGAGAGATTGAGTGACAGAAAAGTCACTAAATCTACGCGAAAAAAGTTTCTCCTGAAAATTAAAATTATTTGAAATATCTCCTAGAAGCATTGCCAAGTTGAGAGTAACTTTGATCTTCAACTTTTGCCGTATTTAAAGGGGTTATAAAAGAAAAGTGGAGGATTTAAGTTTATTACTACAAAAATTTACCATTTTAGACATGTTTTAAGTTTCTTGTTATCGAAATAAGTCTACACATATTAAGAAAAAAAAGGCAAAGTGTACCCCGCCCACCCACCCAATCTCAATTGTGATGATTTTCTTTATTCTTTTCCAGACCTAGGGGCGGCGGAACCTAATTACAAGATCCATATTTTCTTACAAAATTTACCATTTTAAACGAGTTTCAAATTACTAAGAATAAAAAAAAATCATCACAATTGGGATGGGGTGGGTGGGTGGGGTTTATATTTTGCCTTTTTTCTTCATT